ACCACCTTTAATTAAGATTTTGTATGTATAATTAAAAAATTACTTGATATCTCTTTCCTTTTTAAATAATCTCTTATTTAAATTTTTTGTATCTATCTTTAACAGTATAATATTATCTCCGTCTACTTATAATTATTATAGTAAACTAAAAAATATCAAATAATAATATTTTAGTAAATTCTATTTATTTTTAATTTAATCATACGGAGAGACTAATAAATGAGGTAGGATAGAAAGTTTATAGTTAGAAATCATAAATGTGATCATTATCAAACGATCATAAGAAGATTTAGTCAATTAGTGAATAGTTCAAAATTGGCAACCACACTAAACTGTGGCTCTGTCCATTGTTGAGAGGAAGAGGCTACCTCTCTGACAGAACCCCCACTTGGTACTAGTATAATTTATTGCACAGTGAATTTCTGGGTTGCTGCTGGTGCCGCCATTGTTAAACAGTATGTGAAGATCAAGAAATGAAAAAGAAAAACTGTTGATTTTACCAAGACTAGTCTTACCAAAATCTTGCCTTTCTATTTTTCAACGACAACCTTGTTAGTTTTGATTCTGACCTTTTCTTCACTGACGGCTACAACCCCAAAAACCCCAAGCCAACATTGTTATATAAACTCCAATCTTGTTCATTCTTAGTAAAACAGAGAAAAAACCCACCCCACTTTTTTTTTTTTTGCATAAAGAAAAACCAAATAGTTTTGATAAAGATGAAATTTGGGAAAGAATTTACATCCCAAATGGTCCCTGAATGGCAAGAAGCCTATATGGATTATAATTATCTAAAGGGTGTGTTGAAAGACATATCATGTTTCAAGAAGAAGAATGCACCATTACCTGAAGTTGCAGCTACACCAAAAGGCTCATTAAAGAGAAGGATATCTATGTACAGAGCTTTTAGTGGTTTACAAAGTAGATTCAGTTTCAAAGGTTCGCCTGGTAGAGCTGACAATGAAGATGAAGAAGTTATTTTAGTAAGTTCACTGCAGCAAGAAGGGTCACAAGGACACAGTCAAACTATGTTTCTTATGTCATCTGAACAAGGTGGAGAATATGAGATGGTTTTCTTTAGAAGACTTGATGATGAATTCAACAAGGTGATAACTTTTTACAAGAAAAAAGTAGGGGAAGTGAAGGATGAAGCTGATGAATTGAGTAAACAAATGGATGCACTTATTGCTCTAAGAATTATGGTTGATAAACCTTCAATTGGTATGCGTAGTGACCAAGTAATGATGGATGATGATACTACTTCGTCTCCAGGATCAGTAGTTCCTACTCATAATATCAGAAGTCCAGGTTAGTCCAATTTTTCGAATACTATGGCTGATTCCATGTCTCAAACCCGTGACCTATATGTAATTAGTTTGGATTTGTGTTTAAAGGTGGGGCACATATGGAGGCAATTCAAGAAGTTGAGATGACTGGTGAAGAAATTCTGGAAGAGGAATCAACATCTAAAGAAAAGAAGAATCTCATGCGTTTTAGGCCTGCTCCAATAGAGATTTTGGACAATGTAAAAATCAATATTGATCCCGCAACACCTATCTCGACTTTGAAAAATGTGATCAGAACTTCAAAAGCAAACGTAAAATTCAGCAAAGATGAGCTCAAAAAAGCCGAAGAACAAATGAAAAAAGCTTTTGTTGAGTTCTATAAAAAGCTTCGACTTCTGAAAAGCTACCGGTAATGGTGCAATTCTTTTCTCCCACTTGTTGTTGTTTTAGTGTTCAATTCAACTAACGTTTTGCTACTTAATGTATTAGTTTACTAAATGTGTTGGCGTTCTCCAAGATCATGAAGAAGTATGATAAGGTACTACACTGAAGTTATCGATAACTATTTGCCAATATAAAGTAGAAATTGTTAGTTTTGCCTTTTAAAACTGCAATTTACTGATGCAGACTACTTCAAGGAAAGCTTCTAAATCATACTCAGACATGATTGATAAATCTGATCTTGGTAACTCAGATGAGGTAAATCTTCCTTCGTTTATTCGAGTTGCAACTATAGTTTGAAGTTTGAACTTCTCATCAATCTATGCTTTTCCTTAGGTTAACAAGCTCATAGAAAGAGTGGAGGTCACGTTCGTAAAACATTTTGCCAATGGCAATCGAAGGAAAGGAATGAAACATTTAAGACCACAAGCTAAAAGAGAAACGCACCGAGTAACATTTTTCGTGGGTAAGCATACATCCTTATTAGCATAAGCACTCTCTTCCTATCTAATCAAAATAAAATGTTGATGAATTATCTTCATCCAGGATATGTGCTTAGCAAAAGTTCGTACACTGCATCTCATAACCATATGTTCATTTTCGTAACTGGTGTACTTTTCACCTACAGGTCTGTTCTTTGGCTGCTCAATAGCATTAGTGGCAGCTATTGTTGTAGCGGTACGTGCACAGCACCTTCTAGAGCATAAGGATCGTGATAAGTATATGAATAACATATTTCCACTCTATAGGTGAACTAAACATATGACTTCTACAAATTCATATTGATTCTTTCCTGATGTCTGTCTACAAGAGAAACCATGTTTAAGCTATACATACGAGTAATGAAGCTCTAACATTGCAGCCTATTTGGATACATTGTCCTCCATATGCTCATGTACGGGGTAAATGTATACTACTGGAAGCGTTTTCGGGTCAATTATCCCTTCATATTTGGCTTCAAGCAGGGAACAGAGTTAGGTTACAGACAAGTTTTCCTCCTTGCTTCTGGTGTTTCAGTACTTGCATTGGCTGCTTCACTCTTCCACCTGGATATGGATATGGACCCGAAAACAGGAAGCTATGAGACAGTGATAGAGCTGATCCCACTTGTCTTGGTGTTTGTAAGTTTAGATTCATTAGTTTCCTTCTACATTCATTCTACAACTGATCTATAGAAAAACCACTAATGATTTAAGTCTTCTTTTTTCAGGTTCTTCTTCTAATAACTTTTTGTCCTCTGAATATTTTATATCGTTCAAGTCGTTTCTTCTTTCTAAGAACTGCCTGGCACTGCCTATGCGCTCCCCTCTATAAGGTACCAGCAGATTCACACACTTCAATATCACAGGAAATACGTACATACTAACTAGTTACACATCAATTTACAGGTTACTCTACCAGATTTTATCTTGGCAGATCAACTTACCAGCCAGGTTTGACACTCAGCCTTTTTCATATTGGAAACTTATACATTTTACCAAAATGTTGATGACTCAGTCATAATGTGCAAATTTTCCTGTGCTTATTGCGAAAAACCAACTGTGCTCTTATATTTCAGGTTCAAGCAATTAGGAGTTTGCAATTCTATGTCTGCTACTACATATGGGGAAACTTCAAAACAAGATCAAATACATGTCAAGATAGCAATGTTTATAAGATCTTGTACATAGTTGTTGCAATTATTCCCTTTTGGTCTCGGTTTATTCAGGTTTGAGAATTTTTACACCGCAAATCATCATTCCCATTTCCCACTATAGATATCTTGACAATTATGTAATATGGTGCTTCGTATGATTTCATGATATATGCAGTGTCTTCGTCGCTTATTTGAAGAGAAAGATTCAATGCAAGGGCTTAATAGCCTCAAATATTTCTCAACTATTGTTGCTCTTGTAATGAGAACACTATATGATCAGAAGAGAGGGACCTTTTGGAAAGTAATGGCAGCGTCAACTTCAGGAATTACTACAATTGCAAACACTTACTGGGACCTTGTCATAGATTGGGGTCTGTTGCAAAGGAATTCCAAAAACCCCTGGTTGAGAGACAAGCTACTTGTTCCACACAAGATTGTCTACTTTGTTGCCATTGTAAGTGCAGACACAGAACTCAAAACTTAACTATTAAAAATACGATTAAGTTTTTGATGATTTTGAGTCTAAATGCAGGTTCTTGACATTATTCTGAGACTAGTATGGATGCAGTTGGTTCTAGATTTTCAAGAACTACCTCATCTGCACAAGAAAGCTTTTCTTGCAATTGTTGCCTGTTTGGAAATCCTTCGCCGAGGCTTGTGGAACTTTTTCAGGTCAGTTTAAATTCTATACTCCGACTGTTTAAAGAACTTTTACATACATTGATATATATAATAAATATAACATGGTCAGATACACCGATACTGGTTTTCTCTAACAGTAGTAGTTTTTCTGCTGTTTTTTGTTGTTCAGGTTGGAAAATGAGCACTTAAATAATGTTGGGAAATATCGTGCCTCCAAGTCTGTACCCCTGCCTTTCAACTACGACGAAGACAAGAGCATGTAAAAGGAAAATCACCAGAGTAGTCGAGACGCAAAAATGATCTTCTTTTTTCCTGTTGTCTTGTATAATTCTTTGATTCATGTGTCAACGGTGCTTGTAATGAAGTTCTGTTCATGAATGTATAGGATGAAAAGAAAGCTGATTGATGGATGGAATTATTTTCACGAAATAGTGCTTAGGAAAGTGATTGATGTATGAAATAAAGCTAAAATATCCAGCTTTCTTCATCAAAATATTTAACAAAGCAATCAATGCTTGAGGTCTTACAGCTTTCTAAAGTTTCACATGAAAATGACTGGTAACATGTTGAAGGTCATTCTCTAATTCTTACCAAGAATAAACGTCCAATCACATGAGAATAGCTTTCTAAAGTTTCACATGAGAATGACTGGTAACATGTTGAAGGTCATTCTCTAATTCTTACCAAGAATAAACGTCCAATCAACTTAAGTGGACATAATAGAAGAACGAATGAATATCAGGCATAATATGTAAACAGACACGCAACTTTGACCTCAGCTGAAAGCAAGTGTCTAAACACCTCAATTGGCAACCAAACACTTTAATTTGAGGTGTCTAGATGTGCACTCTCAAAGTAGTCTCTAATTTGAGGTGTCTAGATGTGCACTCTCAAAGTCGAAGAGTTTATTTGACAACTAAGACGAACAACATAATACCCCTTTTCTATATGAAAAATCTGTTGATCAAAGCTGATGACATAGTCAGATTGACGAATCGGACACGTAATAAACACACCATTAATAGAAATGGTAACATCTATAAGTAGAGTGTTCAAGTCTTGAAAAGAGAATGTACATCTTAAAAGTTTCAAACAAATGAGAAGTAATCCAAGAATTACTAAAGTCCACTTGGGGCTCAAACTTGCCGACAGAGAGCAATTTATTCCAGAACAGTAGTATACAATGAAGAAGCTAACCATTTTATGTCAACAACAAAGCACTGAGCAAAGACCAACGAAGCAAACTAGAAAGGTGAACTCTATTCCGGTGGATGGAAATCCTCTTGATCTGTCTCTTTATCACTCTGAGAGGCAACTGACTGGTCTGAATCAGAATTTTCTGCAGTTATAGCGCCTGTGCTATCATTATCTTGGTTACCAAAGATATACGAAAATGATAGTGGATTATATGTGGAGCTTGCCTTCTTAAGTCCCTGAATAGCTTTAATCGCCGCAAGTGTACTTCTATATATATCCACATTTTCTTCCCCAAGTGGCAATGCCGGAGAAACATTTGAAGCATAAGAAGTAGTTGCTCCCGTCGGCTCTTCTGCAGTAGCATCTGATTCTACAACTTCTGCTTCCAAAGGAAATAGGAGCTCGAGATTTTCCTCACACTCACGAACTAATCTATTCAGAGGCTCAGTTGTAAAGAAGGGCTGATCAAGAGCAAGTTGTGTGAAAGGGAGACGCAACAATCTCCCAGTTCGTTTATCGAACTTCTTCAAAATCTTAACAAGACCTAAAGGAACAAAACAATTTCTCATAGAAAGCTGATGTTGCACAAAATTAAAGCAAGACTTGTACTTGAGTTATTTCTTTAAAACAGGAACAATACGACACTTGAAACACAAATGCTTGAGCAATTGTAAGTGGTAACTAGCTAACTGAAATCACAATATATGCTTAAAATAGAGTATAAATGCTGTGGTACCTGCAAAATTTAAAGAGCTGTAATTTTTAAGAAGAACCATCTCCCCATGTATGGCAACAAAGTCTTTACGTATACCCATCACGTCATCACTAAATTCACTGTCTTTTGTGAGAGCTCCATCTTTGCCACTCTTCTCTTTCACTCTTTCAATTCGTTCCTTTAATTCCTGGTATAGAAGTAGATGACATAGGATCAATTCCCATACCAAAGACAATTACAATTGATACCCACATATTTGAATATATATTTATTTGTTCACTGCTAAATTCTTACTTGCTTACTCTGGGGCATATTTCATTGAACCCATCCTTCCCTATCCTACATCTCCAAGACAACGAAAAAGAGAACTAAAAAAATCCTATTTTCTGTCCCCCTCTGGAACTCCATCAGAGAGATCAATCCAAATCCAAATCCAAATGGAAGAAGTTCCCTTGATAATTCAAACCAAAATATTTTCCCTTATTCCATCTACCAGCGCACTTGCTTTTCAAGTTGACACCACAAGCAAATGTCATCCTCCACAGCAAAACAACAACAAATCCAAAAGAGAATGAACTTCACATGGCATAGTTCATTTCACCACAAAACAATCCTAATACAAGACTAAGATAGATACCAATTTTCCACCTAAGGCATGAAACAGATAAGAGTAACAATGGAAGTCCAACTCCCTCCCTTCCGAATTTCATCCTGTTCTGATAAAAACAAAGATGAAAGGGGGGGAAACATCATTATGATATCCCACCAAATGTCGTTGTCAAGACCTAACCTCAGCCTATGCTGATTCAGATAAAATGTTCGTCATTCATGAAAATTTGGCAACTTTACAAAACTAGTATTATGGAGACTAAAAGAGACCCAACTTAATCAAATTAAGGGGAAAAGTAAGGGACTGACTGTCATTAGCTATAGGATACTGCAAATGAGAAAAGTAATAAAATAACCATAACTCAGCCCCAAACAAGTTGAGGTCAGCTAAATAAATCCTCTAACTATGATTCTCCGTTTAAATTCATATCAGGTCAGCCTTAGCAGAATAAACTATAAAATAAAGAGTATTAAATGTTCTCTATACTTTCAACTAGTAAAAAATGCATTCCAGTTAATTGATGCTCATGCAAATGATAAAAGACACTACAAGTAAAAAATGTCTCTCAAATAGCACATACTTTTAATCTTGAGTGCTTTTTATCTCCACAAAGAATGCTTCAACTTAAATTTTAAAAGTTAATGCTTCAACTTAAATTATAAAAGTTAATCTGTCACCCTACAATAGTTTTATACAACGCATAAAAGTTGATAGATGCAGCCATTTCCCATTATTAGTAAAAGTATTTACCTTATTAAAAAGGTTGATAGATGCAAGCTTTTAACTCAACCATTTCTGCTCAACTTTAATGTATGCAGCAATCTTGAGCATTAAATTTGCCAGTACAAAGTATCCAAGGATCAACTAGTTAGTAGTAGTGAATTCAAAAAAAATCCTCTGGACTGCTACTAGCATGACTCGTTGCTAACTCCTACTATGTGTAGTTTAAACAAATAGAGCATAAAGTTAAGCCATCAGACCATTGATTTACTCAGCTATTAATTAAACATGGTTATTTTTAGGGTTGCTAATGTTCATATGTCGATTATTTCAAGACCATTGAACTTCACTATAATGAAAGCACGGGTCTGAATTTCATATCTTTTATGTGTGCATTAGCTACAACCAAAGAAGAGAACTGTACAATATATACTGCACAACCCATTGTGACTGAATGCATATGCAAGTTCAGCTCTATATTCAATATTTAGGTGCCCATCTTACTTCATCCACTGCTAGTGCCCACATGAGATGTATTCTTATTAACAAACAAATCTTGCAGTTGAAACAATGAACTGGCAGTTGTGGGACAAGAGAAATAAACCGTCAAGAGTCAGTGGAGCACCGGTTAACTCTAACAATTATCTGTCTTTGGTGTTGAAAAATACTTAACATTCGGGACAACAGTCACTTTCTGAACAATCTGATCAAAGCAAGTCTACAGTTCCAGACTTCTAGCGGTAATTGATACTAAACCTGTGTAAATGAAGTGACCTGATTGTTTTTTCTCCTTTGACCAAAATAATGGTTTATGTTTTTTTAAGTGAAGGTTTATTATCTCTGGAAATCAAATTAATATAAATTATTAGTATATTATATTACTTCAAACTTAATGTACATCTCTCCTTTTTTTAATTAGGTACGGTGGAATTTCATTAAAATTGCATCTGTAGATGCTGAAGGCAAATTCAATGTGCATCTTACTGCTAATCCTTCCATATTATCATATAAATGGCAGGCGAATATTTTAAGCACTCTTTGGCCAAAAACAATATAACAGTTTGTTCAAACATGTTATATTAAGTATTACAATAAAAAGGACCTGAATAGAGTAGAATGGTATAAGAGGATTCATACACCTGATCTGAGATAAAGAAGTAGTTGTTTGATCGATGGATAGATTGGCTGTTTGTATGCTATTTAACTGCATAAATCAAGGTAGGATGTTTTGTTGATTAAGCACCCAAGAGTTTGCCAAGTAATTAAAGAAGTGGGTGAATACCTTGGAGACTAGAGTTAAATCCAAGTATATTTAAAAAAAAAAACTAGGTGAATTTTCCCATTTGTGATCTGCAAAAGCATTGGCAGTTAGAGTTACCTATACCTATATTGATGGGAGGTAGCAGGAACTTGGTAGAATCAAAGTGGCCATAAATCGGCTCGGGACCACCGTCATAAGATTAAAAATAACGAAGGTCGTATTGATTATGACAGAAGTATCATAATTTAAGATATGTAGGGTCATTTCTTAAAATAGTTCAATAGTTTGGGAAGGCACTAAGGTGGAATATACCATCAATATACTCGTATGTTTCAGCTTAACTAAGAATATTCTCCAAGTAGCTCCTGTGATGCCTTCTCCCTAACCACTTATTTATTTGTTATTGCATATATCTGTCTCCTCTCAGCTTGCTGCAGCCTATTAAGTTGTTGTCGCCCCTCTCAAATTCCTCATAATCTTATTTACATTTACTTCCCTCCCTTTGTACTTCAACTACAGTCATCAATTTCCATAATTGCAATTGCCCTGCATTTATACTTTCACAAAATTCCAGTCAAATGCTACTTCCAAACTTTTATGTGTAGCACCAGATAAAACCTTAAAAATCTCTTCATCGAGTGATTTCTTACATGTATGGCGGATACAGTGAAATTAGTCGTGATGGCACAAGTTGGCCCACCACATTTGTCAAGAATATAAAGTGTCTACATTCTATTCACCATACTCTAGAACAACATTGTAACAAGCAGTACAGGTAAACCCCTGTTTCACAACTTTCATGATCCGTCAAAAGTTTAAATTAATAAACAATTTATGGAAATTAAATTAGAAGTTGGAATAATCAGCAGTACAGATAATCCTTGTGCAATATACAAGATTAATGTGGTCAAAAAATATGCACATTCAGATAAAATTTCAAGAAATTGGGCGTAGCAGAGTATAATGGATTCATCTAGCCGGCCCCAATTGACCTACTAAGATATATTTGTATGTACAGAGTAGCGAAGAAACCTGTAATCGAATAATAAATTCCTCCTCTTTATCGACATAGAAATCGTTGAATTTGTCAAGTTCCTCATTGAGAATTCTGACGAACCAGTCCTGCGGAGGATTGTCAGCGCCGTCGGGAAGATTATCGGCGGTGGATGGAAGGTTCTTGAGAAGCTTCTTGAGGGGTTTGTAGCACAAATACTTGTCCCTCCATTCGGGTAGGGTTTCTTCTAAATGCGTTGTGAACTCTTTACCGAATTTCATAAGAATTAATCAAGAAAACACACAGCAATCAAATCAATTTCACAATGAAACAGCCCTTTTGTTTGGGTCTCTGAACAAAAGAAAATATTCTCTTTTTTTTATTATAAAGTCAGGGGATATCATCAGTAATGGTAAACGCAGAGATTATAATATAATTTTTTTGTATTTTTAATTTGTAACAATAGAGTCCAATGAAGATAAATATGAATGCTACGCATATGCGAGAAATAGTAGGAAAGTTGCGATGGAGTTGGGAATCTTTTGTTTACAGAAATAAATAATAATAATAATAATATTGTGTTTCTCATATTAGTAAGTTTGTAAAGGTAACAAAAAGCAGAACTGCAAATTTTTTGTAGTCAACTTGGCAATTTCATAATGGCTTTTTATGTGCATCAAAGCAATAAATGACGCAACCCACGTTTCTACTTTCCTGCACTTTTTCTTTTAATTCTTAATTTTTCATTGAAATCAAAATAACGAAAATCTATCCCCATAAAGGAGAAATTATTATGAGTAGAAGTGAATTTAGACCCTCAATCAGTTTATTACTTATTAAAATCTTAATGGGACAGTAGATTAAGGCAAGAATCAAATTTAAATATTTAATCAATTAAATTATTAGAATTTATATTTGAAAATAACAATCTAATTTAGATAATCAATCAACTGAATTATTAAGATTACAAACAAAGAATCAAGATTACTCTATATTTAGTTTGTTGAATGTAAAATCTATGATATATTATTATCATTTCATAAAGTTGAATGAATTGAATTAATAAATAAGTTATTTAATTACTATATATTTTTTTTTCAGATCAAAATAGTTTGAACGGTGACACACAGTCAACTCCTCTACCTTAAAATATTGTTTCCCAATTTCTTTTATCTTTTAATATTAAATAATAAGTATACTAACATTTTGTTGCTCCATAATAATTGAAATGGAAAATTTTAAAATACTGACCGACCCAATTTTTTGATTGAATTGATGTGCAGTATTCCTAATTAAAACCCTTGATTAAAATTTGCATCAGCTATGTCGTTACCATTTGCTTGTCACATCACAAGTGGGACTTTTCCTCATTTGTTTGAGAAATTAATTAAAAGCAAGTTTCCAACAATCAGTTTACTGGTTATCTTGTATTAAAATGCTAAAAAAATCGTTTATATTTTATACTAAATCAATGAATATATAATACGTATTTCTTTACTATCTAACATGTACTGCATCAAACTCATAAGGTTAGAGCTTAATTTGTTGGAATTTTTACGTGATGAGCCCAAACACTAAAATAAATACACAAAATATTCTTTCGGATAATTATTACATTCAAAGAAAAAAAAAATTCTCAAAATTCTCACAAAATTTGGTAATACCTTCAATGTAAATAATTCAAATTTGTATAACTATATATCGGATATGAAAGTAAGATTGATTAAAAAAATTTAAGTCAATTAAATATCAATTGATGTGAGATGGATATATTGTCCTCCATATGCTCATGTACGGAGCAAATGTATACTACTGGAAGCGTTTTCGGGTCAATTATCCCTTCATATTTGGCTTCAAGCGTTTACTATTTAGTCGAAACTTGGGTGGGTTAAAGGAGGTTAAGCTAAATTTGGAAGTTTCTCTCGTTTTTATATAAATATAAGTGTATAAAATCTGTTTTTATTTGTATAAAATGCGAGAATATTATATAAATACATATATTTTTGTTCTCCTCTTTCAGATCTCGCTCGCCACTTTTCCTAATTTCGCTCGTCACCCTCGTCTCTCTCGCTTATACAAACAGAAGCAAAATATATAAATTGTGTTTCTGTTTATATAAAGCGAGAGAAAATTGTATATACACATGTAAATACATATATTTTCGTCTTATACACTTATAATTATACAATAAAAATATTCTCCTGCCCAGTTTCTTTTGTCTTTCTTATTTTATACAAATTCAAATTGTATATAATTTATCTCTTTCTCGTTTTATACAATTCATTCAATTGTATATTCCCTGTCCAAGTCTTTTTTGTCTTTCTATTTTTCTCATTTTATACAAATTCAAATTGTATATAATCGTTATATACACTTATTATTATGCAATTCATTTTTATACAATTATCTGCCCAAGTCTCTTTCTCTTTTTCATTTTATACACTTTGCTTTATACAATTAGCTTCAATTGTATATATATAGCGAATTATACTTAAATATATTTATTATTAAACGTGATTATGTAAACTTTGTTATAATATATAAATATAAATTATATGTTTGCAATATGTGAAAGTTGTACTATTTTATTGGTTACTGATCTAACCCAAATATGAATGAATTGAGTAGGTAACCAAAATATGAGCTTGTTTTGGTGGGTGAATCCGTCTAAAAGAAATTGGTAAACATCACGTGAATTGACCCGTTCATCCCAAGTTTCCCAACAAAGAGAAGAAACAGAGAAGCAAAAATACAATTTCTCTCCTCCATACCAACGCAGCTTTCATACTATGTCGACTTCTCAAGTAAGTTTTCTTCAGCTGAATTTGGTTATCTGATTGTTTCTTACTATTTTAGTGTAAAATTTGATGTTATGGTTGGGAGATATATAACTGCTTGAACTCAGCATGATTTTATCACAATCACTAGATTCTTTACCATGGATGTTACCTTCTCTGTGATTGATTCATAAAATCATGAATACAAATTTATTCTTCCACTTGTTTGACTTATTCCTAAAGGTTTTATGTGCCCCTGTAGGCAATTAAGAGCAAAAACGTTGGGTACACTCATTTTGTATCACTTCCATTGACCTTGCCGGATGAAATGGTCACCAAGCTCAACAACTTTAAGAATTCGCTTCTTCAAACTAATAAAGTTAATCCACATGAAAATTCTGATTTCTGCTTTTTTTTTCTGATGTTCAATTGTTTTCCTTCATAATGTCATAATTTCTGACAAATGTTTTAAGACTCAACAGGTTTGGGAATTGACAAATCCATTTTTATTAAGCCAAATACATTACACTTGACTGTGCAAATGCTGAAGCTTTCGAATACTAGTCGAATTAAAGTTGCTGCTGACGTTTTGCGGGTGAAATTTTATACTTAGATGGCCATTTTATTCCTTTTTTGTAATGTATTTTTTCATTGTCTAACTTTTCATAATATATAAATTGCTTTTCATTGTCTTTCCAGAGGGTCTCACCAAAAGTAATGGATGCTTTGGAGCAACGTCCTGTGTATATAAGACTGAAGGGTTTGGTAATTCTTTATTCAAGTTATGCAATTATTGGCTTCTGTAAATTTGTAACTCTGAAACAGACAAAGGGTAAATGTGTATTAGAGCCTCCAACCATGCCGTTGGTAGCAATGTTGACAAACTTGGAATTACGCAAAGCAATTGAACATAATGATTGAGTACTGCAAAAAGAATCTAAATAGTGATTTCATTTTCCTTTTCATGTTACTCCTATCTCTTTTTATGAATGCTTATTCAATTGATCGGTCCCTGTTTGTATTATGGAGAGAGACTGCTATCATGTAGATGTTTCGATGCTGTTGCTTATTATGAGATTTGACAAAGGCATAACTTTCCTTGGCTGGAACTCGGATTTGTTCTTATTCTGCAGGAATGCATGAAAGATAGAGGTACTCGAGAAAAAGCTTATGTTGTACATGCTCCTCTGGAAGTAATTGGTGGTATACCCAGACTTATACGTGCCTGTCGTATCCATAATTTCTGGCATCTTCTTCCCTCACTCTAGCCACTATTTTAATTTATCTGCTATTTTAAAGGAATTTGGTACTTGTATACCTTAGCTTTTCTAGGGGTGATAATTGATGCGTTCGTTGAAGCTGGTCTTGTTCTTGAAAAGGATGCAAACCGTGGGTTACTGGTATAGCTCTCAATGTGTTAATTCTTTTTTCAGGTAAATTTTGTTGGCAATTTCTTTATTGTTTGTCCATTAAGGCTCTCTCCTTGACCATTTAATCTAGTGCTGTTGCGTCCTTGCTATTCCTTTACCCTGTAAAAAGCAATTTATTTATCACAATCAAGGGTCTAGAATGTACTTCGGGCTTTGATCTATGGTACAAAAGCCTGGTATTTAAGTGGAGAGAGGTAGACAGGAGGGCCTGTAATCCACCGAGTTCCCTCGGGGATTTCTTGGCTATAAAAAACTACAGCCAGAAATGGTTCAAGCCTGTTTTGAAAAGGGAAGTAGATACCCACTTCCAAGAATCAATATGGCTGCAACCATTTTATTTTTATACCTTTGGAATATGGCTTTTTTGATTCTCGCCTCCTGCATTCCAACTATATGCATGGACTTATTTCTTCAATTGCATTTTGCTTGCTGTGGTGTCATTTGTTTTTGTTCTTGTATCAGTAATCAAACATTAAATACTTGAACTTTATTCTGTCAATATATTTTATCGTCTCTGGTGGCTTCTTTTTTTTCCTCTTACCATGAAAATCTCCTGGTGGAAATTAATAAATTTATCTTCTATTTTTGCCATCTTCTAATACAGTTGCATGCCACAATAATGAATGCGGGAAATAGAAAAAGGTAATGTTTTTGATTCTTTCATTGTGTCTAGTTTATTCTTGGCTTAAAGTCTATTATGATTCTACCAATTGCATAACTATCTTTGCTGTCAAGGTTGCACTGACTTACTATTTCGTAAATTGTAGCAGTAAAACATCAGGAAAAACTGAGCCCTTTGATGCACGAACAATTTTTGCTCAATATGGCAAAGAAGAGTGGGGAGAGTGTTATATCCGTGAAGCTCATCTTTCACAAAGGTTTGTCTACGATGACAATGGTTATTTCCATTGCTGTGCTTCCATCCCATTCCCTGAAGAAAAGCAGGGTGCGTTTCCTACTATGAAAAACTTTTTTCAGAAAATGTTTTCTTGAAAAATATGTTCTACGGCAAAATAAGTGATCATTTCACATTTTCTGGTGTGTGTTACATGTAGTTCATATATGACATATGCTTGTATAAAAAATTGTTTGATGGGTCGATGACAGTTTCTTAGTTTGTACACACTTGGACGCTATCTACAGCTTTTCGGATAATCGTTTCTTGTTACCCCCTGTATTGTGTTGTAGTATTAGCTTAATAACAATATTATCTAGTGTTAAAGTATATTGTATTGTATGATTAAATCCATTATATATGTAACGACTAAAGACTAATTTGATGCAACAACCATAGGTATGGAGTGGTTCGATTAAATGGTTATATGTTACTCTTTTCCATCATTGTCATTACTTGTTATTGATAGTCCTATTTGTTTCTTTTACTCTTGTCTTGCTATTGAACTCTTACTCGATCTGTACTGTATTGGACACCAACCCCTCTGATTTCTAGCTTGTCTATCTTTTTGTTTCTATTTCTTTTGCCTTTCTGCACTTCTTTTTTCCTTTTTATGCAACATTTTTAAAAAAATATTATGAGGCATAATTTGTGAATAAATAGGAAAATGGATGTCTTCAATTATTTTTGTAATTGCTTTTATATCTAATAAAGTAATACTTGCAACAGCCAAGGTTTTTAAAGTAAACTTATTAGTAATTCTAAATTATGATACACAGTAAAAAAAATGTTATTGAATTACAATAAATGATATTATCTATTCAAATTTTGCATCTACAAATAAAATTCAAGCATTCCATCCGCAAAATAATACTCAAGTAACAGCCAACCAAAAAGTTGTAAGGAACTTCTGAGTCGTGTATCATTATCGGGTTGAGTTGACCACTCTTGCATTATCATTCAAAAGTCAAGAATATATTGTAGGCAACTTTCACATAGCAAATACGAAATTCAAATTTGTATGTTATAATAAAGTTTTGATAATTACAGTCTATAGCAAATATATATATATGTATAATTCGCTATACATATACAATTGAAAGTTATGCCTATTTCGCTATACATATATACAAAGAAGAAATTGTATAATTTGTGGATTTCTCTTCAGATTTGTATAATTTCGCTGACAGGTAGTTTGTATAAATTGTTTTTAGCCTCTCATTTGTATAAATCGTTGTTAACCTCTCAATTCAATTATATGTGTGTTGTATATCTGTATAAAATTTAAATTTTTATATAATTGAATCGAATTAAATAAAACGAAAAAGAGAGAAATTATATACAATTTGAATTTGTATAAAACGAGAAAGTGAGAAAGGGAAAGAGACTTCGGCAGGAAATATACAATTGAATCGAATTGTGTAAAACGAGAAAGAGAGAAATTATATACAATTTGAATTTGTATAAAACGAGAAAGAGAGAAAGACAAAAGAGACTTGGGAAGGGAAATATTTATATTGTATAATTATAAGTGGTATAGTGCGGAAATATTGTATTTTCATGTGCATATACAATTTTCTCTCGCTTTATACAAACAGAAACACAATTTATACAATTTCTATTGTATAAAACGAGAGAGGCGAGCAATAGAGAGCGAGCGAGAGAGGGACAGTGGCAAGCGAGAATATGCAGTTTGCTATAAAACACAAATAAATTAAACAGTAGCTAATATATTTATTTTATATTATTAATTTATCGTTTAAATAATTATTTTTATTTGTATCGTGTACTATTATCGGATGATTGTAACTGGGACTGACAAAAAGGGCAACTTATATGGATATCTACTCATATTTATTCATTTTGAGGTTGGGCACCCAACCCAATTAAAAATGAATAAAAATGAATATTACTTATAGTATTCATTTAAAAGTGGTAATTAAATAGATAAAAAAATTTCATTCCTAACAAATAAAAATAAATGGGATTAGGGGGGTTAGTATGGGGAAGGGGGGCTAGGCACTAATTTTTATTTTTAATTTTTTTTTGGGGATAGGGGGTGGGGGGCTCGTTAGGTATAGGTAGGTGGAGCGGGAAAAAAGAACTTTTAAAAGATTTTGATTTTTAATGTTTTTAACAAGATTTCTATTATAATATGTATATCTATATTTATTAATATTGTCTATTGGGTAATTCGTTTTTGATCATTTAAAATACGAGTCAAGTCGAGTACTCTTCATTTTTATTTAACTTGTTTTCGGTCAGACACATATTTGTCTCAACTCACTTATTTATCACTCTTAGTTGTTAATAATGTTTCATATTATATTGTATTATATCGTATTGTATTTTTAATCAATACAATGTTTTGGAAAATAGTTCTTTATTGTCGTATAATGTCAACACATTCATAATATGAATGGTAAAGCTAAAAGAAAAGAAGGGTACAAAGTAGAGCTACTATGAAAAGATAGGATAAATGATATAATATAATTATTAAATAATAAATAAAGACAAATAATAAGCCAAAAATATTAAGTGTAACGATGTGATTACACTAAATTAATCCTTACATAAAATAAAATTTTTCATTATTACATAACAATAAATTCAAAATATATAATATAATAGAATTTAAGTAATGGACAAAATAAATATTATTTTAAACTAAATAATTCGCTATAAACACAGTTGATAACGACTATCGAAACAAAGAAGAGCTAGGTACGATTCAGTATTTTCTTGACGGGCGATTTACAAGAATCAATTTGGAGGTACATGATTTGAACTTTTGATCCGTTTGTCCTATTGGGCAAAATTTTCTTTACTTTTGACTTTGAAGGTTTGAAGAGAACAGTTTTCTTAGTTTTTTTATTACAAAGAATAGATCATTTTACGTCCCCTTTTACAAACGATTTTTATTTTTATACATAAAAGATCTAGAAAATTATTTTCTTTTGTTTTAAATTGTACGAGGATAAGAGGTTCCTTAATGGCGTTTGCCAATCGGCTAAAAAATTCAAGACCGTTCATTTTGATTTGATGGTGTATATTTTTTTGGGAAAATTACTGAAATACACGTCTTATGTTACATTTAATTTCAATATCTCATTTTATTTCTAACAACTCCTAAAATTTCTTGCTTTTTTAATGTATCTGATCTACATATTAACGTATTCAAACCAGTATTTAATGTATCCGAGCTAGTTTTTTGAGCTATATATTATGTATTTGAGTTAATTTATAATGTATCCGAACTACATATTAATGCATTTGTGTTACTTTTTAAGGTATTAATGTAATTACAAACTAAAAAGACATAAATTGCAATTTCATATTAAAACTAATTCCTAAAATTTATCTTTTTTTTGCTTCTTAATACTATTGGACCCAGCCCAATGGGCCAACTTCCAACCCCTTAAATGGGTTATTATTTGATCATTTCAGGCCCATTCTCTTTCTGGGTAAATGGAATTGGCCCATCTAAGATAACTTAGTACTCCATAAATAACGCGAAATCTCAACACGCTGGAATTAGGGTTCCTCTATCACTGTGTTAAGAAGAGAGCTTGCAGTTGATGAAATTTTTTTTATATATATAAATTTGATTGTTTGTTTGAATTTGAATTGCACTAGGAAATAGGATCTGTGGCTTCAAAAGCATATGCCCAGACTCCTAATATATAAAAAGTGCATATACTGATTTAATAGGGTACCGCTTTGCAGCTATGAATTATCTCAGGTATATGCTGCCTGTATCGCCCTTACATTCCATCTACTTTTAATCTTTATTTTTCGACTCATTTCGTCTTCAACTAAATGCATCTCTTTTTTTCCATTTTTCTTTTACTTATATATATATATTTTTATAAAGCTAAGTTGTTCGGTCAGTCATGTATAGATTTGCTTTGTTTCTGTTGAAGTCACGTTTGTTTAAAATGGTGGTTTATTCATTAGCTAAATTTGGGAGATTATAATGACTGACTTAAGATTAACGAAACTCCTATGTAATGTTTGTTATTGGCATGATATATAACTTTAAATATATATATAAATAAACATTTAAATTGATATAAAATACTAATATTCTTAATAAACATATACAATTACTCCTTTACAGCAAGCTAATCAAATTAATGAAAAGATTAAACAATTGAAAGGTCTTAGAAGCCCGATATTTGGTACTTCATTGACTTGGAATGAGATGGGACGAGTTGAGCTTAAATCGAGTATAACTTTTTAATCAATTTTGAGGTTTATTCATAATCATAACCCGCTGCTATACCCACAAGTATATTTTTTTTATTTTTTAATCTACTTTACTTTTCGATAATTGTAAATTAACAACATACTAATCTGTACTTGCACACATCAACAAAAGACTGCTAAAAATATTTAAGCACACATGCTCATACATGTTCTAACATACTTAGTTAATCAAGTATACACGAACATTTCAATTGAGGTAGGATAATTAAAGTATGAAGGTGTATAGTAATTAGTTTTTTTATACTAATAATATTTTAAATATTTGTAATTATTATAGGAGTGTTTATGGTTTATATATGTAATTATTTACTTTAGTTATTTCTATATCCTTCTTATGTCACACCAAATACAAAAATTTTAAAAATACATGCCAATTACCAAACTATATTACCAGATGCAAATATAAGAGGTCTCCAAGAAACGGGTCTGTGGGCTTGTTAGGCCCATTTGTCCCAAAAACTAGAAGCCCAATGGCCCTTTATTGAACAAATTCAAAAATGTTATGCACTTCTCTTTTTAATTCATTAACTTTTTTATTTTTTTCACAATTTTTTAGCTTCTATATTTCATATGATGTTTAAGATCACAAGATTACATTATATTTTGGTATGTTCTACGTGTCTTTTATTTATAAAAAATTGTGTTTTTTTTTGAAATTTTATATTAAAACTAAATAAACAAATTAAAATAGAGAGAATCCATATAGTATACACATTTAGGTTGAGGTGTGATTTAGGTACATTATTATATGCATACATTTAATTTAAGGTACAATAATTAATATTATTCGAAAGGAAGGTCTTATCACATTAGATACTCATTTATTTTTGTGTAAATAGAAATAGTGGTAGGATATGTGTAGCTTCTCTTTAAATTCCCCTCTTAGGCCATCTTAATAAGTATTCCATCTGTAAAAGCGGCTAATATTAAAATAGTAATGTACTCTTTTCTTTATTTCTTTATCAATACAACAGAGTTAATTATCACTTTTATTTTTCTTTTGAGTTTTAACTCTATAAAATGCTATTGTAAAAGAGTTTTCCTCAATTTATATCACATTATCACTTACAAGCTATTTTCTTTGTTTTTTTCCCTTTTACTATATAAAAATTGTTTATTTTTTGTTTTACCACCAATAATTATTACTTAATTATTCTTCAAACCGTTTATCAAAATT